AGGGGCCAACCAGTCAAGGAAACGACTTGGGAGGCCGAGGAAAACATACGGAGCAGATATCCATACTTATCCAGCACTCCAGGTATAATTCTACACCCGTTCAAGGACAAACGTTGGTTTAAGAGATGGAGAATGTAATGACCCAACCGGTCATTTTGACTTTTAGAACCCTGTTCCCCTAAATAAAACTCCATATATGTATTTTTATTAATTTATGACTTGCGGGGATGGTTGTTTCGGAATTTGGAAGTGTTCGGGTTGAAATCGGAACACTTGGTTCCTTAAGTTGGCCTTAAAATACAAAGTTTGACTTCGGTTAACATTTCTAGAAAACGACCCCGGAAAAGAATTTTGATGATTCCAACAGCTCTGTATGGTGATTTTGGACTTAGGAGCATGTTCGAAATTTTATTTGGAAGTCCGTAGTTAAATTAGGCTTGAAATGGCTAAAATAGAAATTTAAGTTTGGAAGTTTGACTGGGGAGTTGACTTTTTGATATCGGAGTCGGAATCTAGTTCTGAAAATTTTCATAGCTCCGTTATGTCATTTATGACTTGTGTGCAAAATTTGAGGTCAATCGGACTTGATTTGAAAGGTTTCGACATCGAATGTAGAAGTTGGAAATTTTAAGTTTCATTAAGCTTGAATTGGAGCATGATTCGTGGTTTTAGCGTCGTTTTATGTGATTTAAGGTTTCAAATAAGTTCGTATGATGTTTTAGGACTATCTGATATATTTGGTTGAGATCCCGAGGGCTTTGGGTGAGTTTCGGATGGTTAACGAAGCAAAAGTTGAACTTAAAACAGCTGCTGCAATTTTTCTTTTCTGCTGGAAATTCGGGGCTGAAATCGAAGTCATGGTCGAGCCCAGGATCGAGACCCAAGAGCGAGGCCATGATCGAGGGTCATGATCGAAGGCCCATGATCGAGGGTCATGATCGAAGGCCCATGATTAAGGGTCATGATCGAAGGCTCATGCTCGAGGGTCATGATCGAAGGTAAGTCTTGAGGGTCACGATCGAAGGCCCAGGCTCGAGGGCCATGATCGAAGCCACGATCGAGACCATGATCGAGGCCATGACCGAGGCAGGACCGAGGGCTGCCTGGGCAGAACTATAAAGGAGGGGACTTCGTCCCATTCTCCATTTTTGACAAATTGGAGCTTGATCAGAGGCGATTTTTGATAGATTTTCAAAGAAAGACATTAGGGTAAGTGATTCTAACTCGAATTTGGTCAATATACATGAATATATCATTGTTTTTACCATTTAATTAGTGTTTTGAGATTGAAATTTTAAAAAAATTTAGAAATTTCATATAAACGAATTTTTGAGATTTCGGTATCGATTCGGAGTCGGATTTGAGTGAAACTGGTATGGTTGGACTCATAACTGAATGGGCTATCGGATTTCGTAACTTTCACCAGATTCCGAGACGTGGGCCCCACGGACGAATTTTTAATTAATTTCGATTTTTTTATTGAAAATATAGTATTTTCTTATGAAATTGATTTTATAATTTTTGGTGACTGTATCGAATTATTTTTGGTTAGATTCGAGCCATTCAGAGTTGGATAATCGAGGAAAGGGTCTACTAGTAGATTAAATTGGAGCAAGACGAGTTAAGTCTCTTGTCTAATCTTGTGATGGAAAAATTACCCCATAGGTGATTAAACTAATAATTGTTGCTAATTGTGGGGGCTGCGTACATACGAGGTGACGAGAGTCCGTACGTAGCTACTATTTATGCTAAAGTCCGGGTAGTTTAGGACTCAAAGCATGAATTATGTGTATAAATTGTATCCTGTATTTAATTAAATTATTTGAAATATATTGTGAATTGATATGGAAAGATAGTAAAAGATGAAAATCTTATATACTTAATTTTCTGCTTAAATTAATTAATTATTAAAAGAAATTGTTCATCCTATCGAATTAATCTATAATAAATATACTCTCCTTCTGGAGGTATAAATGAAAATGTCCTCCTTTCTTGTAGAGCGAGCCGAACGCTTCGACAGTATAGATGCATCTATGGATCGCGCTGCACATCCCTCGGCAGTGTACACGACACTCTGGATCGGGTCATATGACCTCGGAAGAAATCGTGCCTAATAATAATTACTCGATGCCTTGATTTTTTTTTTAATTGTAGTTTGTGAATTTAATTAATAGATTGGAAATTATTGCATTTGAAGGAATTTAATTATTTCTGCTGGTTAAATAAAATTATTGTTAACTCTGTGAATCATGTTGATTGAGATATTCTAGTTTATTTCAATTATTATTATTGACCCATAGTGAGTGTCAAAGTCGGCCATCTCGTCTCTACCTCTTCCAGATTAGGCTTGATACTTATTGGGTATATGTTATTTACGTACCCATGCTACACTTGCTGCACTTTTTGTGCAGGACCTCAGACATGTGCTATCGTTGGACCTATCGGCGCGCACCCGCGTTATCCGGAGGCTTAGTGGTGAGCTACTTTCTGAGCCATTCTGCAGCAACTAGTGCCTCTTCCTGAATTTTTATTCTGTCTATTTCATTCCAGACAGTATTTATGAATTTTGTTTTGTATAATCTACTAGATGCTCATACATTTGTGACACCAGGTTTTGGCACACACACTAGTAGAATGTTTTGATTTAATTATTTTCTTGGTTATTTTATTTACCAGATCTTTTCATATTGTTTTAATTCTTGCAACTAAGAAGAGTTTAATTACTCGGTTAATTTTAAAAGAATTGAATATGGATTTAAATTACTAGTTGGCTTGCCTAACTGTAGTGTTGGGCGCCATCACGACCTATAGGTGAAATTGGGTCGTGACATTACTCTTGCATATGCTCTAATCCAAATATCTAAATGAGATGTGCTTATACATCAATCATCGAGTTTAAGATTATATATTAATAGTATAAGAAATTATTTACATAATTAGATTACTTAATAGGTAATTACATGTTAATTTATAAATAAGCACCAAATAAACATTAATGTTTAATGTTTATAAATAAACATTAATTAGTATCGCAGATAAAATTTTATTAGTAGTGTAAGAAAATCTCTACATTGTCCATGTACATAATTCAAAATTCTTAGTCACATACTTTGGTACTAATTAGATAAGAGTGGGTTGCTCTAGTGGTAAGCACCCTCCACTTCCAACTAAAAGGTTATGAGTTCGAGTCATCCCAAGAGCAAGGTGGAGAGTTCTTGGAGGGAGGGAGCCGAGGGTCTATCGGAAACAGCCTCTCTACCCCAGGGTAGAGGTAAAGTCTGCGTACACACTACCCTCCCCAGACCCCACTAGTGAGATTATACTGGGTTGTTGTTGTTGTAGTATACTTTGGTACTAACCTGTAGTTAGTGCCGATTAAAAATATAATTTGTGATATTTGTCTAGCAGATATTAGCTAAGTAGTGGAATTATTGGTAAAATTCGTTACTAGTCATGTAATCGTGATGATAACTAATTAATTCTATGATATAGGAAACATAATATTCTCTAGAAAACAATTCATAATATCCACAAAACCCATGATTAGATGCCAAAGGGATTAGTATGATTAATTATTTTTCTCTGTTCTTTTGTTTAATTAAAGTACATAAAAAGGGGATGGGAAAGATCATAAAGTTATGAGGAACTTAGTTAGTTAAGTTAATCAGACGCTTAATGCCTTTAATGAAGAATTAATTTAATTTTTGTTTGGAGTAAAGGAATATTAACTAACATATGAAGCTCAGAAGTAATCTGATTCACCGCTACATACGTTGCATCTTTTGCTCTCTTTTTTATTTTTTTTTTTTTTTTTTAGAGAGAAAAAAAATTATGTTAGTAAAATTATGATTTTAATAGTAATTGTTGCCACCTCCACATGATTATTCTTTACTTTAACCACATAATTAATGGAGTTAGGCTTCCTAGTCATCAACAAGTGTGATAAGAATAAAGGAATTACAGGTTTAGGTGCCACTCAATATTACTGTATTTTGGTCAAATTAAACTAAAGCAAGATTCATTGCATATCTGGTCGGATTATACATTGAGAGAGTAAAAATAATCTTTAACTATCAAATTGGATTTAAATTCAATACGCCGACAATGTGAAGATACTTTTTACACTATCAAATAAATTTTAATACATGATAGCGCAGGTTAATTAGTTATCATCTTTACACTATCAATAAATTTTGATGTGTATCATGAGTTCAACTGTAAACACCTCTTTTTTTTAACTGAAATTACCTACTCCTAAGTAACCTAATGTTGTACATATTTTTTATAGCACTAACGTATAGAACTGTAATAATAGGTTACCTTGTTTTCTAGTTAATAACCAATTTGTATAAGTTCTGAACCTCGAGCTATCTTTCAATCCTATATAAATGAAATTAGTGTATAGCATTTTAAATCAAGAAAATAATTTATAACTACATTCTTTAGAAAAGGTTATTAGGTCTAATTTTATTTTGTTTCTTGCATGTTTAATTTGCTCAAAGTCAAATAGTAGTGGTGTTAGATTATAATATGAAATCTATATAATGCCTCCCAAAACACAAAAGTATAGCCAAATCGATACTAAGCAATATTGAAATATATAATGCATTAAAACATTAAATACACATGAATTGAACACAATTTGTATATCTTTTTTGGACTGCTATATATATACCTTTAACAATAAAGTATATAACAATAAATGCTTCTTTATTATTCCATGGTTGAACTACTACAGTCGAACCTCTCTATAACAACCTCGTCTGTTCCGATATTTTTTGGCTGCTATAGTGAAATGTTGTTATAAATGACATATATTATAACATAACATAAAAATCGGTTCCGAGAAAAACTTGGCTTTTATAGTGAACGATTGTTATATGAGGAAGCAGTTATAGAGAGGTCTGACTGTATATGTATTTAACAATAAATATTTCTTTATTTAAAAAAAAAAAAAGGAATCGCAGCCATAGGCTTCATTTTAATTAACACGAAGCAATTTAAGCATAAAGATTTGGATTTTGAAGGAGATGAGATTCCACAGCTTTATATATGCCAATTGCACTGTCTTTACCAGCCTTGATTTCTTCTTCTTTGACTATAAAATCACCAAATCCAATATACTTAGTTGTCATCTTGCAAATGCAGCCTCCATTTGACTCTTCAAATTTTACTTCATAAGAAATAGAGTCAAGTTTATCTCCCAATGCATCCCCTTCAATCATAGTGTATTTGCACACCATATTTTCTTTATCTAGTTCATCTATTTGATGTTTCACAAACTCAAAAGGACTACCTGCAAATTAAACCAAACTTAACATTATTATAAAATATAAAAAAGATAACCTGATGCACAAAGTATATCACATTCATACAGAATCCCGGGAATTGCACCCTAAGGGGTGTGATACAAAATGTCGTTACATCACACCATTTCGAAAATTTCATTATCACTAATTAAATTTCATTATAATGACTATTATAAAATGTCGTTAGAAGGATTATTATATAACCATTTGATTAGAGATTGTGAGGAGGGGGGTTAGAATTTTCCTTAAGCTTCATTTGCGGGGTGTATTTGATATGTCGGAAGTCATCTTTTAGAAAATATTTTCTATGAGAAAGTCGTCTTGGTGTTTGATTGCTAAAGAAAATTATATTTCATCCAAAAGGGAGAAATTAATTTCTCTATCATATTGATGGAGTGATGGATTTTATTTTCTTTATATCTATCTTAACTTTAAATTCATATTACATGCTACAATTAACATATAAATTTATTCTTTATCTTTAATATTCAAAAGGTTCATATATATATATATATATATATATATATGTGTGTGTGTGTGTGTGTGTGTGTGTGTGTGTGTGTGTATACACTTTTCACCTCTATCAACCGAACACAGAAAAATATTTTCTAGTAAATAACTTAATAACAAACTTGGAGTTGCATATATTTGACATCCTCAAAAATCTTTTTCCAAAAGTATTAGATAAAGATGAGAAAATCTCGAACTAGGTTCCTATATAGTGAAGTTATATAAGAACAGAATAATTACGTTATAATTAAATTTAATATATATTCACTAACCTTTTGTGAAGTTGACTTGTTCAATACTTCCAGCTCCACCATCTCCTTGTAACAAATCAACACTCTCAACAAATTGAGGCAATAGTTTGGGTATTAGGGACTTTGAATCCACAATTAAAGCCTTGAACAAACGAATTGGTGCTATAGGGGATGTAAGCTCTTGGGTAAAAGTTGCAACACCCATGATCTTGATTAGGCAATTGGTATTAGAACTAAAAGTTTAATTAGTGGCTAAAAAATCTAATGGTTTCTGCTGATTGTATGTAATTATGGTTAATTGCCTATCGCGAATTCGCGTATATATAGCCTAGAAGGGAAAATTTGGTTTAATTTATATTTTTGGAATTTCAAATCCTTAGTTTAACAAAACACATGGGCGGCATTTGATGACTTGATTCAAATTTGGAGACCAGGAATATTTAATTTTTTTATTTTTTCAGTCTTCTTTTGAGGCCTCTTAATTTTTCCAAATCAGAAATTTTGATCAAAGCTAAATAATGTAAAGGTTGCACATTTTGTAGCTATAGTTAGGTGACTTAGGTCTAAGATGTTGTCTTGCCGATAATCTGAACGTAGGTTTTTCTAACCAGAAAATGAAGAAGAGAAATTTTCATAAAGTACTACAGTTTAAAGTCTAATTAATATAAGTAACTATAGTTTACGTAATTATCATTTGTAACTATAGTTTAACTGTTACCGGATTGTATCATTTGTATTCAGATGCGCAACGAATACAACTAAAGCAAAATTGTAACGACCTGACCGGTCGTTTTGAGCACTAGCATTTCGTTCAGCTATTTGGAGTCTCGATTAGTTTCGTATGATGTATTATGACTTGTGTGAATCGTCGGTTTTGGTTTTCAGGTTATTCGAAATTGATTTGGTATGATGAATTTCACGATTGAAACTTTAGAGTTAGAAGAGTTGACCAAGTTTGGCTTTTTAATATTTGACCTCGGATGAGAGTTTTGATGGTTCCGTTAGGTCCGGATGATGATTTTGAAATCGGGCGTATACCCAGATTTGCATTTGAATATTTGTAGAAGATTTCGGTGCTAATTGGCGAAAGTTGGAAATTTGAAGGTTTGAAAAGTTTATAAGTTTGACCGAGAGTTAACTTTGAGGATATCGGATTCGGATTGTGGTTCCAGGAATTGGAATAGCTTCGTTATGTCATTTGGGACTTGTGTGCAAAATTTGAGTTCATTCTGAGTTGATTCAATAAGGTTCAGTACGAGTTTTGGAATATGAAGGTTCAAAACTTTGTAAGCACGTAATTTTTGACCCATCATGTTTTTGAGCTATTTTTAAGTGTTTAAAATATTTATTTCACTTAACTTTAATTTTTATGGAGTTTTAGTCAATTTTTACTTCAAATTACAATTTAAAAACACAAAAAATATTTTCATCTTTAGTTTAAGGTCAATTAATATATATATATATATATATATATATATATATATATATATATATATAGTACTTTAATTTTTTTCATGACTTTAGCCTATTTTCTTTACTTTTACTTTGTTATAACATTTAAAAATACAAAAAAAAATAGTCTTGTTTTAGTATTTAGTGTTATTTTAATAGTTTACTCTACTTAAATAGGACTAGTTAATATTTTAGTAGTATTTTAGTAGTTTAGGCTCATTTTTTTTTGCTTTGGGACAAAAGATGCCAAATTCGGAATGGCCCATAAGATCTGAGCAGCTAAAAAGGAGAACCTGAGAGTAAGAAGGAAAAAGTTGCGCAGCGGCTTAAAAAAGGGAGAGAGCAAAACGCGAGGTTGGGAATTCTCCCTTTTTGCTCGACTGATTCTTCTTCCTCAATACAGCAGATCCGCCACCAAAGCCTCATCTTTTTCACCATTAAAATCAGTCTATAAAACTTCCATTAAACCACCCTTAAGCTCCATCAAACAGCTCCCCTTTCTTCACCCAAACCCAACTGCGAAAAATCACCTAAAAACAGTCCCCTTCTCGTGAAAAACAGTAGCTCCAAAAATTGAGTTCCTTCCGTCGAGTTTGTCATCGCCGTCGAGCTCCATTCTGGTTCAAGGTTGTTCGCATTTTCGATTCTTGTCCGGTTGTTGGGTTTTGGTATTGATAGCTGAAGCATCATGACTGCTGTACAAAACTCGCTTCTAGATCCTTTTAATATATTGGAGAAAAGTTCTTCTCTTTGGTTCTACAAAAGGTTCAATCTATGTTTCTTTTAATCTCTATTATCATTTCAATCTTTCTTACTAATTAGAATGTCATCTGTTCGTTGTTATCTTTAGGTGCTTGTAGTATTTAGTTGATATTTTCTTATAAACCTGTGCATGTGATTGAATATTTATTTCTATTCCTTTTAGGATTGAAAGACCCAAGTACGATTTTGGTTCTATTCCTTCAATAGCATTTTTTTTTCTTACTGGGTTTGTTTCCTTATATGTTTCTGTGATTAGTTCCCATGTTTTATTTATTATGTTAACTTATGTTGTTCAAGATTTAATTTGCAATCATCTGAAATTTGGCTCTCATATATTATTTATATAATCTGCTAGTGAGGTTCATGGAATTAAGAGTCGAATAAGCATAATTTTTTTGATAACGCTTGAACCTTTACATTTCATCTCAAACTCAGAAAGAAATATTCACTCTTGAATACCGTAGTTTGTTTTAGGCACGATTAATGAATCACTGTGGCCATGGGTACGGTTCCCGTGGCATGGTCACGATACGTAAATCCTAATTCGAGTATGTGTTTCACGTGACTCGACCATAACTTCAAATAATAATAAAAATATACATGTTATGAATCACGGGTGCGTTTCAGTAGCGCGGTTCGCAATATGTACAAAGATAACAAGTGCGCGACATCGCGACTTGTTCAAACCCCCCATAAATACCAAAAGCGGTTAATATATGATAAAAGCGGCTAAAAGGTAAAAATACACAATAGGTTTCAAATATGTATTAAATCAGATAATTAGGCCAATTATTAATAGTTGAGCGACCGTGCTAAAATCACGGAACTCGGGAGTGCCTCACACCTTCTCTCGGGTTAATAAAATTCATTACCCGGTCTTCTAGTTTCACAGATTTTAAAACATAGTCAAATTTCCTCGATTTGGGATTCTAAAATAAACCGGTGACTTGGGACACCATAAATTATTCCAAGTGGCGACTCTGAATAAATAAATAATCACATATCAATTAATGTCACTTAAATTGAAAAAACTCCCCTATCCCTATCCCCTTCGGGAAAAAGGAAGTGTGACAAACTTCATTAAGTTTGATTTGAGGTGCGATTAGTTATTTCGATATTGTTATGCGTGATTTGAGGCCTCGAGTAGGTCCGTGTTAGGTTATAGGACTTGTTGGTATATTCAAACGGGGTGCCGAGGGGCTCGGGCGTATTTCGAATTGATTTCGGATCATTTTTCTTCACATCTTCTTTGGTGGTTGCTGCTGCCTCGACTGTCCTTCGCGATCGCGAAGATTGGTATGCGATGGCGTAGAGGATATCTGGTGCTGGGCATTTTCTTCATCGCGGTCGCGATTGGATGGCAGCGTTCGCGTAGAGTTGGGATGGTCTTCATTGCGTTCGCGTAGTGTTTGGGGCTGAGCTGGGCAGAATGCTGGTTCTCTCTTCACGTTCGCAATGTTGTTACCGCGAACGCGTAGTTATGTCAGTCTTGTGTATCGCGTTTGCGCGTCTGTTGATGCGATCGCATAGTGCATTTTTAGGAGCAGTGCTTTTTCTTCTTCGCGGTTGCGATGATATTTCCGCGATCGCGATTCATTGATTCGTCTAGTGATTATAAGTACTCTAATTTTGGGGGTTTCGACCATTTTTACATATTTGGAGCAATAGAGCTCGGATTGAGACGATATTTGAAGCGATTTTCACCATGTAGATTGGGGTAAGTGTTCTCTACTCATTTTTTATTTTACATCATGAATCTATGCTCGTTTTTGGCATTTGGTTGATGATTTCAAAAAAGAAACTTGGGATTTTTGTCTAAAGTTTTATAGAGTAAATTTTTGAGTTTTGAACATCGATTTGGAATCGAATTTGAGTGAAACTAGTACGGTTGGACTCGTAATCGAATGGGTTTTCAAATTTTGTAAGTTTTGTCGTGTTTCGAGGTGCAGGCCGGGGTTTGACTTTAGGCTTTTGATTAAAAATTTGACCTTTATCATTTGAAATTATTTCCTTAGGCATTATTTGATGTATTTGAGTTACTTTTGGCTAGTTTTAAACCGTTCGGGGGTCGGTACGCGCGGGATGGTATTTTTAGAGTATTGTCTGGCTTGCTCAGTATTGGATTTGATTTGTTTGAGGTAAGAATCCTATCTAAACATGGTTGAGGCACTAGTTGTTTGAATTATTTGTGATAGCTACGTGCAATGGGTGCGCATATGTGTGGGGTTTGAACCCATGTGCGAGCATCAGAGTATTTATCCATGCTCGGGTAGTGCTTAGGCTATGATACGCCTAGAGTTGACTGTTAAGCTTTAAGCTACAATGTATCTCATATTTTTATCATTGTTGTGAACTATTTGAGTCATGTTTGAGGTTACGAAGAGGCTAAATCCCTGAAGAAAATTTGGTAATTTCTATTTCTGTGATAAATGGCCGATTTAAGCTATGATGGCACACATTGCACATGCCTACACTTTAGCATGTAATTATACCAATCCAGGAGCATGAAATGTGATATTTTATCCATTATATACATGTGTTCATATATATTTGCTTCTGTGTGATATGATTGAACTGGATGCATGTGATCACGTCGGGCGGATTGTATCGATATGCATGTGACCACGCGAGGGCGGATTGTGTTGATGTGTGTACGGCGAGGGCTGATATTGAAAATGTACTTGCGTTCCAGTTGTGGCTATCACTTGTCATTGGTAGCATTAGATTTGGATTCTGTTAATTTACATTTCAAATAATTGTTGTAATTATTTCAATTTAGTTTTGTAAAAATCTAAGTTTTAGTGACTCATGACTTATACTACCAGTCCTTGGGAATTCTTTGAATAAAAATTCAGTTATATTTTCATTATTTCTCTCAGTAAATCTCATTTGAATTAGATTGTTGCTAATTGGCTTACCTAGTGGGTTGGGTTAGGTGTCATCACGACTAGTTGGATTTGGGTCGTGACAAAAAATACAAAAATATAGAAAAAGAGAATGCTCTCGTT